AAATTTAGGCTGTTGCTACAGCATGCCAAAGACAAACCAAGAAAACAACCAAGCATTAGCAACCAAAGCATTTGTCCCTCCAACCCGTAGCAGAAGTTAATGGAAGATCACCATGGAAAACAAAATGTCACCAGGGAAGGGAAAGGTAAAAGGAAATGGAAAGGAACATGTAAAGGAAAGGGAAGGGGAAAGGGAAAGGGAAAGGGAAAAGGGAAAGGAAAGGGAAAAGGGAATGGAAAAGGAAAGGGAAAGGGAAAGGGAATGGAAAAGGAATCAGAAGACGCAAAAAAAAATCCCATTAAAAAACAAAAAAATATCCCGCTAAAAACCTGCAGCCAAAAAAATGTGGTTTTCCGATGCATACCTGCCTACCACCCGCATTCGCAAGTGGTGACCCAGCATGCTGGTTGTTCAAGCCTCTCCAGCAATGATGCATATGCAGATAGGGAGCCTGGTTTTCCAGGCCCAGTGCCAAGCGCTACGAGAGATGCGCAAAGGCGCCCCAACACTTCGCAAGCCTGCCGCCTGACCTTTGAAATGTCGAGACAAACACAACTTGTACTGAGAGGCCGTTTTGCTTAATTTGATGCCCCGTGTTTCACCTCTTTTGTCGCGTTTCACCTCTGCATGACCCGCTTGAGTCGCGTCTTGGCCAGGTTGGTTGCTTGTTTTTGTTGGTTTGGTTGGTGTTCGGTTGTTTGTTTGCTTGGTTGGGTTCTGTCTTCTCAACCTGGCTGATGACTCACCTTCAAGTAGCACAAGATGACCTGTGCATTCTCTGCACACATGGCGTCTCCACCCGTGCAAAGAAAAACTCGGTACATTTACATCTTCACACGCTCACATCCGCAGATCTACCTCTCTACCTCCACACCCACACATCTACACATCCACACTGTCACTCCTTCATACCCGCCCTCTCTTTCTCTCTTTCTACATATCTTTTCTCTTAATATAAAGATGTCATTGGCTCTCGGGCAACTCGATTTTACTATTCCTTACTTGGAAGTGCTTGACAATCACCTGTCTCGCTCTCGGGCCAACCGTCGTCTAGTTTTTCAGGCTTTGGCGTATACCTTTGTCCATCGTTGCTTGGGGTCGCTCGTTGGTAAATTCAAGTCGTTGTGTGTGCGATGTGGTGATAAAAACAAATTTCCCACCGGATAGAATTTACACAGGAGTGCCGAAGAAGGGAACGGCAGTCCGAACCGGGTTGGGCAGCACTGCGCCATTTGTGGGGTGCTGGCATTAAGGGACCGGGACCGTTGGTTCCAGTTACAACATTGGAGCTTGCAATCGTCACAAAACATTATCTGGCACTTCCAAATGTTTTGAGCACACATTGTTGTCCCTAAAAGGACAAGGTCTGTGCCATAAACGTTTAAGCGGATATTTTTGGAGGTATGCCAAAGATACAAGGAAATCACCTAGGTGTTCCAAGCACAATATTTTGAACATGGCCCGCTCGCCCAAGCGCTCGCGCGGCTTCGATGATGTCACAGCCTCTGCGCCGCCTGCGGCCCGGCCACGGCGGCCACCACGCAGCTTCGAGGAGACGGCTGCGTTGATTGGGGTGGTGAAGGAGCTCTCAAACCCCAGATGTGCCAGGCCGGGATGGCAAGACTCACGGTTGCACGGTGTGTTTGGTGTTTTGGAAACGGTGGATTTTTTTGGGTTCTTCGTTCCCAATTTTGATGTGTCGGCAACAAGGAAGACTTTTGTGGTCAGTGGCTGCCATCCCGATGGCAACGTTGATGTGAACTTGGATGTGGTTTCTCCAACAGGGGCATTGTCAGATGTAGAAAGCGTGGTGGAACATCAATTTTCAACGGCCAAACATCCAGATTCCTAGTTCCAACATCCATTTTTATAGTGGAATGGATCTGATGCTGGTTTTCGTTCGCCCGGCCGAAGGACCAAGGACGTCGTCGAGGGGTCTTCCCGTTCTTGTTGGCGTTCAGGTTCGTTGGACGAAACCGCATTTTAGACCCTTAGACCTTTGTATTTTTTTTGAATCTAAGGCATTGGTGCTTCACATCAATTTCAATTTTTGACAAATGTTTACCAATTCGATCCTGTCACTTCGCAAGAGAACACTGTCCTTGCAATCATCCCAATACCAGCATTTCCACGTGCGGTCATTTGGAATGATTGGCCATGCGCCTGATGGCGACCTGAAGACCTGCTTGTCGGGGGCATTTGTATTATATTTCGATGATCAAACATGAGCACGCTTGTGCCAACTGTGCGGACGCATTCCTGATAGGCTTTGCAGCCACTTCCTGAAGAACGACTGCTTGTGGGGCGACCAATGCCGCTTCTCCCACGACGCCTCCGAGCTCCGCGCGGGCGCGCCGCCCACGGAGGAGATGAACTTTGCCAATCTGGAGGATGGACAGGTGAGCTGGCCACATACGTGGTGAGGACATGGGGGCAGAGGTGGGTGAAGGTTGGAGCTGCTGATCCACAGCGTTGGCTTTTGACCTTGATGCGCGGAAGGAACAACATAAGGAGCAATTCGCGTGGATTCTTCTGTATTCTGAAGGAGGAACGTCGCCAGGTAATAATCAGAGCTGAGTGGTTGAGGGGTGGGAATCCCTGGATTTGTCAAGCCCGCAGCACCTGAACCCTGGCTCTTACCCTCAAACCTTTTTTTAAGATTCCAGCCAAACATTTGTTCCTTTGAAGATCCTCTACAATCATTTCAGAAGTTTTTTGTCTTTCCGGTGTTCTTGGTCATTTCAGCGTGCATAGATGTTAGGCTGCCAAGCCCTCACCCATCAGAGACGCTCATTTGGACATGCCAGGTGTCTCGAACGTTGCCGGTGCCAAAGGTGCAAGTCAAGCACTTCATGACTTTGAAGACACGGCAGGCGAGGGCTTGGAGATCAGTCCACATCGGTGCGAGATCGGGGCATGGATCGGTCGGAGTGCGAGTATGGGCTCTGGTGGAGCGCGTGCATTTGGATGTTGTGGAAGAATGAAAGACATGTACAACCTTATAAACAAGGTGACCTGTGCTTGCTAAGAGCCGTCAAATTTGGGTGTACCCGAACAGGTTCTTTCGGAGGCACATCCTTGCTGGTACTCTGACATCATATTTTCAGCGTAAGCCAAGTGTAAAAGGACACTAGAAACGCCCCACATGTGTGCTTTGATGCAGTTGCTGCCCTGCAAAAGCACCGAAGAGGGGCGCTCTTTTCATCCGAAGGGATTCGACCAGTTCCGCTGAGCTGGTCGGAGGCTGAAATCTGTGGAGGTGTTTGTCCTTCCCTTGGAGCAAACGCGAACGACCCATCCGATTTGGAGACATTCTTCGATCCCCCAACGGGTGCAGGTGCTCTTGGAGTCCACCGGACTGAGCGACCTCTCCTGGGACGACGACGCGGACGCGCCGCGCTGCACGCTCCTGGGGGCGGCGCAGCAGGTGGACGAGGCCGAGCGGCGGCTGAGAAGGGCGATGACCCACTGCCAGTGGGGTGTTTCGGAGGCCCGGCACATTGTGGGGAAGGGGAGGATGTGGGGCATGTTCTGGAGTTGGAGCACCACGAAGGCACATGTAACTCTTCAGGACCAACAAGAGTTTTCTCCCGACCAATATCCCTGGTTTCTTTTGCTGTGTAGCTAGAGAGTGCTAGATAGAAAGTGCTAGAGACCGGAAACGAAGACCTTTTTGACATGGTACGACCTTCTAGTTCCTCCAACCTTCAGCCTCTTCAGTCCATCTTCGGGGTGAGGCCAAAGTCTTGAGCCTCCTCGCGCAGAAGCCCTGCGCGTCGGCCAAGCTGCTGTTGAGCCCCACGGTGCCGAGCCTGGCGCAGGGCGTGTGGCACCTGAGCGCGGCCAAGGGGCGCGTGACGCTCGGATCAGCCAAGAGCAACGATGTGCTGGTACCTGGAGCTCTGATGAGCCGGCAGCATGCGCTCTTCGAGCTTGAAACTGAGAGGTGGCGTGGGGTGGTCGGGAGGGAAGTTGGTGCAGGGCCTTCAGGGGCCGAACAGTTGGGCGGCTGTTTGACGGAAACAGCTGGAACAGCGGACTAGTCCTCAACCACTGCCAAGCGACTACCTGATAATCTTTTTGGTTGTGAATTTCCTTTGTTCATGTTGCTCTGTCATGCCATTGTTTGCTTTTGGCCTTGTCCATTGCGAGCAGAATCCAACACTCCTATGGAGATCAGACTATTCCATGGTTCGTCCTTGTTTGTTTCTTGTTGGCAAAATGGGTGGTTGATGGATTGCTGACGCCTTTTGGAAAACACAGCCGAACTGCCACATCAAAAGACGGTCATAGGAGTTTTTCGTCAACTCCAAACTCTGTTTCTTCATACAAACTCCTCACTTCCAGTCTGATTCAAGACCCAACATCAATTGCAAAAGCCAGTGCAGGGGCGCTCTCTACATCCTGGACGTCTCCACCAATGGGACCTTCCTGAACGGCCATCGCTTACCGAAGAACGGCAAGGTGGCCTTGTGCCACGGGGACGAATTGGTGTTCCCGGAGCCGTCGGCTTCTGGCGCTGGAGCGAAGCCGGTGCTGGGCGAGTTTGGCTTCATGGTCAACCTGGAGTTTGGCTGACAAATGATGGGACACACGCCGGAGTGGTGCAGCGTTGGCTATAGGGCTAGGGGGTTGGGGGGGGGGGGTTTTCCTGTGGGACAGACGGGGAGGCTGATCGTTTCCTGAGGTGGGGTATCTGCATGATTCGTCCTGGGTGACATAGAGATTCTGTCACATGCCTTTTACATGGTTCCCAACTTATGTGATTATCCTAAGTGGAAGAACCACGGTAGTCGTTCACGCAAACCCGCGACCTGCTTTGCATGAACTGTAACTGCTACGAAAACGTGGAAGATGGGTGTACCACTTGAGCCAGCTTGTGCACTGTTGATTGTAGTCTGTTGTCAGCTTTGCAGCTGTCGGCATTTGCCACAGGTTCGCAGCATCAATTACAAAAAATCCACAGCACTTCTCCAGAACTCAAAAATCCATTTTCTGCAATCTCCAGCCTAACGCATGGTGCCAAACCATCAGATCAGGACCTGGCAAATGAAGCCTTGCACAGTGGATACCGCCTCCAAGTATTAAGATGTGTGTGTTCGTGGACGTGTGCAGTGTGCAGTTTCGTTTTCTCATATGCTGATTCTCCCTTGGATGGTCTCGGGCATCACAGCCATACAGTCCTTGGCTAAGCCCCTGCTGACCCTCCTTCTCCGCATGCCCTCGCGATGTTGAGCCGCCTTGGGCGCCTCACCAGCGCCCCCACCGCGCTGGTGAGGCAGGGTGCACTTTACGGAGATTAGTGACTCGGGTAGGTTAGAGACGGGAAACAGACCATTCAATGAAAGATGAATCTTTGGTGTTTTTGGGTGGTGTTTGTGATGTCATTGAATGTTCATTGTGATGTTCAAGTCCCCTGTGGTACGACACGTATGATCTTGCATTGCACGACACGTGGGTTGCAAGCGCACCATCGACCAATCCGAGTCTTTTCAGCTGCCCCAGAGTCCATCGCAAAAGAATGTCAGTAATGTGTGTGGGGCCCAGTGACTTGCAGTTACCTATCTTCACAGATCTTCACAGAATCACTCTTTTTGTTCCATGTTTCAAGGCTCAACCCACCAAAGAAGCCTCGGTGGACCCCGAACCCGGATCGCTGGTCCAGGCAGCGCTGGTGGAGAGCTCCAAGGAGAGCCAGACCAGTCGGAATTTTTGCTACTACAGTAGCTATTTGCTCCTAGTAGCAATGGCCTCCAACCTACTTGTGATGGCCTCCACCAGATCTAGCGTCCTATTAGAACGTTTCTTTGGTCCTGTATTTTTTGGAGCACGAATCTAGAGGAGGCCCCAAGCGAAGCTGCAAGTCTGTGCCAGCTGGAAGCTGGTCTTTCGGGTTCTCCCATTGCTGGCTTGGTCTGCAACGGCAGTAACTGGAGTAACGTATAGTCAGGTATATTGAAGGATAAGTTGGGTAACTTTCGCCGTAGCCGTCGCCGTGCCGGACCAGTCTGGATCTGGTGTTTCATGTGCCATGGAGAGGTCGCTCTCCGCAGGAGAGGTCGCTGTTGCGGTGCTCCGGTCACACCCGGCGCTGGTCCGACCCTCGCGGTCGGGGCCATTGCTGTGGTGACCTGGCAAGTCCGAAGGGTGGAGAGTGGGTGGAGAGGTGGAGACGAGTGATGAGAGGTGGAGACCCGTCCTTTTCGAGCTTTCCGGTTGAAGAACCATGGGCTCAAAGAGTAGGGGCAGCTTGGCTTGGAGCCCTAGATGGGTTCACAGGTTCTGGGCCTACCGCTCGCGAGGAAAAGGCACGAACACATCCGAAAAGCCGGGAGTCAAGTCTATTTAGGAAGAGTGGAGCACCAGAGAGGATTTTTCCATCATCGTAGTGGGGGTACAAACTGGGTGTGTGATTCTTTCGGATGATGTTCTTTCTTAGTTCTTCTGTGGGTGTGGAGAGGATGTTCTTTCTGAGGTGTCGCCCCTGTGCCTTCGGAGAGGCGACCTGGTGGCCTGAGGATCTGAAGAGGATGTCCTTGGATCGGAGGGTGATCAGATCTGACCTCTGCATGACTGGAAGATGCGAAGATCGTAGGGAAGGAGTCCTTGCTGGTAGGACTGGGGGCAGAGTCGTTTTCCAGTTTGGTACCTCATTTCACTGAGTGGATGAGTGCAACCATGACTGGTCACACAGGGCTGAGTCTATTCATCATCCTCCGGGCACAAACCATGCGATTCCACACCACCTGATGGCCCAAACATGCTTCTCCAAACTCCCTGGGCTTCTTCCCTGGTTAGGACTCCCGTCCCCGCAGGTGGTGGAAGACCCCGCGTGGGCTCGTCCCTCCGCGTGGCCTCGCCGGGGCGCCGGGACTCGACAGAGTGGTCGACGACGTACTCCGTCGCGGAGACCGGTGGGAGACCGGCAGTCGTCCGAAACTCCAGGCGGTCCTTTTCTGCGCGGCAGACGCTTTGGAGACGTCCAGTGGAGGACGTTCGGGTTTTGGGGGGATCGAGGAATTGTTTGGCACGAAGAAACACCAACATATTTTGTGGAACATTGGAAAGGTTCGCACCCCAAAAACAGCTCAAAGGATGTTCAGACTTCGTTGTTCTCCCAAGCAACGTGTGGACGAAGCTTTCGGGAAGTGCAATATCTATGGATCCATAGAAAATCATGCTGTACTTCAGATTGCACTTCGGATACGTTCGTATCTCTTGTAATTATGTTCTTCAGTCAACGTTCCAAGCTATTTCCTTCGCAGGAACGCTCCGGCGAGGTCAGCTCTCGGCAAGTCGTGGGGTTACTTCTGGGAGGAGCACTTGGTTCTCAGAGATTCCTAGGCAAGTTTACTCTGGTGACTGGAGCAGCAGGATATGATCTGGTATGTTCATGATGTGACAACATAGTCCTCTTGGGCTTGGTGTGCTTTCTAAATATTTGTTTGTGCGAAACATCATGCGAAGCACTCACTTGTGTACACCAAAGGTGACATGCACAAATCAAGAAGTGTATATACAGGCCGCTGTTTCAGGTTGTCAAAAGGATCCGCATGGTAGCGGAGCCAGGGATGGCAATTGCATAGCTCTTGCCTGAGGCTCCAGGATCCTTGGGGACAGGACCCGAAATCCCCTGGTCGGTGGCCCGGCCGCGCGAACGTGCGGCTGCCATAGGTGCCTGGCTAGTGTTGGGCGGAGACCCAGCAGAGCTTGCAATCACTGCAAGAGTTCATCCTCGACTACAAGTTTTTCCCTTTGCCCGTGATCCCTACATCCACCAGGAGCCCATCGTTTTTGAGCCCAAGGAGGGTGAGAGCACGCGGAAATGGCTGGTTTGGAGGGATCTCCAATACCAGGTTCTCCCACAGGGAGTGTGGCTGGAGGTGCAGTTGATGGGGCCGAGATAGCCCGACGAATGGTCCAGGCGGTGGAGGCAGCTGGGGCGGCTGCAAAAGCCGCAGTGGAAGCGGTGTCCAGGAGGCCGGAGGATCGAAATTGGTTTCGAATCCTGCCAAAGCCTCCGAACTTCGACCCACGCTCAAGGGAGGAAGAGATTGCCCAGTGGAGAGACTTCTCGTGGAGCCTGGAGCAATATCTTTCTTCCATGGACTCCAACTTCATCGAGGACATCAAGGAACTCAGGTCCAATCCAGGAAGGGAGATTGAAGTGGCCCTTCAAAGTGATGAAGAGCGTCAACGAAGCAGCTTCCTGTATGCCTTGTTGGCATCCCTCCTACGTCATAGGCCTCTCTCCCTGATCAAGCAGGTGAAGGAGTCGAACGGCTTGGAGGCCTACAGAGTCCTCATCCAGAGCTTGGAGCCCAC